GGATCACTTGATGGTAAGCAATCGGCGCCGCCAATGGACACCTGAAACACCAAGGCGTTACAAGTGCGTTACCGGTATTTTGGGATTTGGGCATTTGAGGATTGTGGAATTTGATGTTCAGCCATCCGATCAAATTTGTATAAATTTGTGCTGAAACTAGCGGCTACTTAACCAACATAATTATATCATTCCAAGACCCAAAATATCACAGATTACCTACTTGTTTGGTGTGTGTTACAGTTTTTGACGAAATTCAAAAATGTTTTTTTCTTTGTTACAGTTACCGTCGCAACATGGAACGTTTCCGCACTCTAATAAATGATTCGCCGCAGACACCGTTGGAGCGCGCCGTGTGGTGGACAGAGTACCTACTGCGACATGGTGACGCCAAGCACTTACGCTCACCCAGTGCCAATATCTCGTGGAGACAGTACTTAGAACTTGATCTAGTCTTAGTCTTACTATCAGTATTGTTAATAGCTGTCGCAGTTATTGTTATAGTACTTCGCTTAGTGTACAGAGCTTTACGATTTTATAGAGTTGGTGATGTTAAGATTAAACGCAATTGATCTGGGTTTATTGGGTTTTATTTGAACTGATTATATCATTTCGGTGATTGGCTTATTTTATGGCATAAGCCGGTAAACGAGCAGACGGATCACCTGATGGTCACAAGCAATCGGCGTCGCTCATGGACACCTGGAACACCCGAGGCGTTACAAGTGCCTTACCGGCTTTTTGAGGATTAGGAGTTTGAGGATCGTTGGGAATTCAGGGATTGGGGAGACTGGAGAAGGGGAGGGTAATTGGGCCTCCGGTCACCTCACTCACACGACGAAACACAACGTAAGCGTTGCTTAACGTCGGTTTTCTGTGAGGCCGTGGTATAACTCCGGTCGAGCCGGCCCATTCGTGCCGAAGCATGGCAACCCCACACTTAAATGACTTTTTGTACTATGGCTATGACTTATTATACTCGATGGGCCGACGTTTGACCACTGTCTCGCCAGGTGGTAAGCGGTGATGCGGTCTACGATGGAGCATGTCGTCGCAAAAGCAACCTATTAACTCGGGCGTAGAAGAAACCGTACAGGAAATACAGACTCTGACAAAGAGTTCCACTGCTTAGCAGTACGCACAAGGAAGCTTGACGCAAAGCGCTTCATACGTGTGTATGTGTGACATTTACCATGAATCGGTAACGCTTCACCGATTGTCTTGTGGTACGATGATGGAAAGGACTAGGGGGAGTCAAGTTGTGCAATTCCCCTGCACACTCACCGAAATGTGTAGAGACACACTAGTATGCAATCGTTTGCGTAACATTTATACGATTGTATGTATACAGTGTCAGATAGACACTGTACACATACAATCTACATTATTTCTAAGCCAAGCAACAGTATCCAGTCGATGAAATTATGTATAAGTGAATTATCACTTAAATATCATCACAAAGAAGCTGTCGAGACGTAAATTGTAGAAAATTATGTTAACGGTTTTCTCATAAAATACACAGACAAAGAGATATTGCGAAAAAACTGTTTTGGTCGCCATTTTTCCAAGATGCTGGCGCTAGTAGCGCACGTATAAAGGTGCAGAATGGAAATCGAAAAGAGCACACCAAAATCTACATAATTGCCGATATTCAAAACTCCCGGAAAACATTTCAACTACAAAATTACTGAACTACTCGCAATTACTGGTCGACATTATAAAAAAATCTAGATGAAGCCAGCATTTCCTGCCTCAATTGAGAAGAAATGCCGAAACAAACTCAGACGTACGTACGTCTATTTTTTAATCCAAACAAGTATCAGAATGATAATTATGTGAAAACCGTGCAAAGTTCATTTTGTAGCGGTCTTTGAGAAGAGAACTATGTCAATCTAAGTGGACCTGTTCTGATACCAGGCACGCATATATTTGGTTATAATCAGCTCAACGGACGGGTGTTGCCGAATGGTTCGAATAGCGACCAAACGAACATTTGGATAGATCGAACAGATACTCAAACTGTCAGAACTGAAATAAATAGAAGGCTAGGCAAAATCTCACACACTCCTTGCATAATAATACAATATGTATGTAATATTCTTGTTACACACACAATAAATATGAACATCAAGAGAGAACATTATAGACATTAGAATTAAAACTGTTATAATGTCTACGTCATGGATATGTTTTCAACATAATTTTCTTAATACTCTCCATGTCTTAGAGCCGATTTTTCAATCATCGGTTAATTATTAATATCAAAGGATTGTTCAAATATTCAAAGTTATTCTTTTGATAAAATTTAACTGAGCATTGAAAATCGGTCCTTAGTGATTTAACCCGGTCTGTCATTTGATATTATATCACGATTCGAAAGTGTGTTACAGTAACTGCAAACATTTGATAATTAATCGACCTTCAATCCTTAATTATCACGGAAACACGTTCAATTGGCTGATTACGCCATACCCATCAACATTATCGCTGTAAGATTTTTTGCAAGAAACCTAAACCTATTATGCCTAATACTTATCAAAATAATACCAAAAAATTAGCTGAGTCATGTCAGATGTTACTTGTCTGCTATGATAACTACATAATTACATTTATATAGAGACGACTTCAAAGGTTTCATTCAGTTGTTTCGCATCTCTCGAATACAATGTCTGTGCTCTGGTTTATTTTTAGTGCCTATATTTAAGTAGTAAGTCCAATAGAAGCCGCGAGGATCCTCTTCTACATCCCTACGCCGTCCATCAGCCACCAAGTGGTGTACCGTCCTCTGGCCCAGACGCTAGCCAGCCGAGGTCATGATGTCACCGTCATCACCACAGACCCCACCTTTCCGAAAGGAAAAACACCAGCAAACTTGACAGAAATAGATCTACACGACATCTCTTACGGGATATGGCAAGCAGAATTTATGAAAGGAGAAAGAGGTGGTGCACGTGACTTACTAGCCCAAGTAAAAGAAATAATGGAAGCTTTAGACAAAGTTCTTGATAGACAACTGGAGGATGAAAAAATTCAGACTTTGATCAATGACAAAAGCCAAAAGTTCGATTTGTTGATGTTGGAAGGAGTTTTGCCACCACTCCTCGTATTATCACATATTTATAAGGCACCAGTGATTCAAATTAGCACTTTTGGTGCTTTGCAGGGAACATATGACTCAGTGGGAGCACCCACGCATCCACTCCTCTATCCAATAAATACGCGTCACAAACTGCGTGACCTGACGCTGTGGGACAAACTGACAGAAGCACTCACATATTATGCAGCGGAAAACCTTTGGTACAATTTTTATTATGATCTTAATAACAACATACTAAAAAAACACTTTGGACCAAAGGTGCCCACTGTTGAAGAACTAACAAATAATATTGATATGATATTCCTGAACATACATCCCATGTTTGAAGGCATTAGACCTGTTCCACCCAATGTTATTTACTTGCACGGTTTGCATCAAAAACCCGCAAAAGACCTCCCTCAGGTACGGAATGCTTTTTCAACGATACATTCTTAATTATTGTATACTAATAGGCATGATCTGATTCAAATCTTGTTTTCCAGGATCTGAAGTCTTACTTAGATTCGTCCAAACATGGTGTCATTTACGTGAGCTTCGGTACCAATGTAGATCCTGCTCTATTGCCGCCAGAAAAAATACAAATATTAGTACGAGTGTTCTCTCAGTTGCCTTACGATGTTTTGTGGAAGTGGAGCAAAGATGAATTGCCTGGTCGATCTCCAAACATTAAGATAGCTAAATGGTTCCCACAACCGGATCTACTCAGTGAGTTTATACATTAAACAAAAACCTAAAATATTATCCAATGGGCAATTATCTATAACACATACTGACTGCTAATTTGTGTGCGAATTTCTTTCAGAGCATCCCAATGTGAAGTTGTTCATAACACAAGGAGGATTACAGTCCACAGACGAGGCCATCACTGCAGGAGTTCCATTGATCGGCATGCCGATGTTAGGTGACCAATATTTCAACGTAGAAAGATACGTTTACCATGGTTTTGGTATCAGACTGGACATGGAAGCGCTGACTGAAGAAAAACTTAAGCATGCAATTAACGCTACAGTAGAAGACGAAAGGTATTTAATTGAAATTTAATTAATAAATCTAAAACAGTAATCACTCGTCACAGCTAATGTAAGATTGACCCATAGAATGTTTGATAATGTCCGGCTGGACATTGTCAAACATCAGTCCCCATTTGAAGCCAAGTGGCAACTTAATCAGTCATTCCCGGAATCAAAAAAAATAGATACTTGTTTGGTGTTTTTACAGTTTTTCTTTGTTACAGTTACCGTCGCAACATGGAACGTTTCCGCACTCTAATAAATGATTCGCCGCAGACACCGTTGGAGCGCGCTGTGTGGTGGACAGAGTACCTACTGCGACATGGTGACGCTAAGCACTTACGCTCACCCAGTGCCAATATCTCGTGGAGACAGTACTTAGAACTTGATCTAGTCTTAGTCTTACTATCAGTATTGTTTATAGCTGTCGCGGTTACTGTTATACTGCTTCGCTTAGTGTACAGAGTTTTACGATTTTATATAGTTGGTGATGTTAAAATTAAACGAAATTGATCTGATTTTTTATTGATTTATTTATTTAATATGGTTCATGGACAAAATGTACAAATAGGTAGACTTAATGCCGCAGGCATTTTCTATCGGTCTGACCTTTGGGTGGTGTTTTGCTTTTTAGTTTTATTTGAACTGGACATTTCATATGTGTACAGCTATGAGTCTCATATGTTACCGCCACTTCTTATGTGAACTTTAACTCGTTGAGTACCGTCATTATAGGCACAATTATAGAACAATAGGTTGCGGTCACTGGTGACCGTTTGGTGTTTGACAGTTTAAATCGTTGTACCAAGTTTTGTGGTCCCTAGAAATCGTTTAAAGGCCACGGCAACTAATCTCATCTCCGCTAAAAAAATTAAATTATTCTCATAATACTCGCCCTGAGCAAAATACCTAGGCATCCAGCCTAGTGAAGTAAGTTATCAACTACTTCTGAATTAGTTAAAACGACGGTAGATGAAATTAGAGATATTAGTATTCACACCTTTATAAAGTGCGACATATTCCTAAAGTTTTCCAATAACTAGTGTCGTATTTAATGAACATAGCCCCACGGCCATATAATAAAAATGGCCACCCATGTAATCATTTATTTTTATAATTTTTTTTTATTAAAAAATCTTTGCCCCACATTAGGATTTTCTCCTGTGTCGTGGGTGCGTTTACAAACATGCAAGTTCACATACACAATGACACCCAGACCCGGAACAACAATTTGTGGATCACACAAAGGGTTGTTCCGTACGGGAATCGAACGTTATTGTTGAACGTAAAACAAACTCGTACTAGGCCCTATGGACTCCGGCTAGGTGAACTGACGACATGTTCAGAGTTTTGGGGAGCCTTAAAAGAGAGAGGATATATATAAGTGGTGAGTGGTCGTTCGGCGTGGAGGACTAAGGGTCAAGGGCCATTCTTTATTCAACACTGGATGTCTATCAGCTCATAATTATGA